GTGTGTGTGTGTGTGTGTGTGTGTGTGTGTGTGAGAGAGAGAGAGAGAGAGAGAGAGAGAGAGTGTGTGTGTGTGTGGGGGGGGTGACTCTGTGTATGGGAACACTGAGCATGTTGTCTTAGCTAGAAACCTGGCTTTCAGCCCAGACTTCCCTCTCCCTCCTGCCTCCATCCCATTGGTCACCAAGTCCAGTCTGTTCCTTTTCTATGGCTCTCTCTAGTCCATCCCCTTGTTCCCACCTTCCTTCAGCCACCCTCATTTCCCTCCAGGATCAAGCACCAGCCTCCTGGCCAGATCCCTTTCAGGTCTCCAGTTCTTCAGTTTCATCTCTGTCTCCAGCATTCTCTTTGGCCAAAACCTTCTGGAGCTTGGGGCATCAGTGGTAGCTCAGCTGCTGGCGGTTCCATGACACCCAGGGCCTGCCGTGCTCCGGGTTGCTGGCTTATGTGGTATACCTTTTACCTGGAAGGCTCTTCTCCCTCTTCCTTGCCCTGCTTGGTGCAACAGGCTCCCCTGGCTGAGCCTTCGGGCTTGGAGAAGGAGTCCCCTCTTCCATGAAGCCTCCCCTGACTCTCTTCCCCTCCCAGCCCGAGTTAGGGTTTCCTTTTCAGTGTTCACTTTCTAATAGAGCATTTCTTATTTCATTATAAATGGGCCTGCCTTGTCTTTCTCTTTCCCATGTAAAATGTGAGCTTTTTTAGCTTTTTTGCAACAAAGCTTGCCTTACCTGTCTTTGCACCTTAGTGCCAGACCCTATGTCTTTTATATAGTAAGTGCTCAAGAAATGTTTGAAATGTGCTTGTGTTCTATGAGTGTGACTTGTGTATGATTTCTTGAAAGAGATCACAGGAAAGCATTCTGGTACAGACTGGCCTCCTACCTTCCTGCCTTAGGTAGCCTGAAGACAGATTTCATGAGCCTGAGTGTGACAACAGGACCTACACCCATTTTCTCAGGTGTTTCACAGGAATGAGAGCATTTACTGAAACTGTACTTCATTCTTCCCTGGCCTTTCCCTCCTGCAGGGCCCTGTTGAGTGTGGCTTTAGCAAGGCCTAATGACAGCCAGCCACACTGAGTGTGTCCTCACTTGCAGTCAACTGCCCACTCCATTTACTGAGTCAGTCACTCCTCCATGTGACTTATTTTTCAGATTCAAGAGTTCCTGGGACAGGGGAGGTTTAGCTGGGGCGGGTGTGGGCCAGGCCTGGGGCAGAGGAGAGTGTGCTGGGCTCTGGGAGGCTGGAGCCTGGGTCTGTCCCTGTTCTGTGCTGACTCCCAGTGTGGTCTGAGATGGGGATCTGCCCTGTCTGCCTCACTGGGCAAGAGATGTGGCTTGAGGAGGGCAATGGCCAAGGGTCATTCTCTTCTCAACTCATTCCCTCTGGGGGGCTTCCAATGCCAGCATCTTGCTCCTTTGAGTATCCTGATTGTTCCTTGCCCCTGGGACTATACTCTTTTTTCGTCTTGGGGGGTTGAAGACCAGAGACAGCCAGGGTGAGGCTGGGGCCAGATGTCCCCAGTGGGGTGGGTGTTGGGCCCTAGATTATCCTCTGTGCTCCTGGCTCTGGGCCATGGTGCTGGCTACCCTTTCCCTGAGTATACTTTATTTTCTATTTTTCCCTGAGTATACTTCATTTTATTTTTTGTCCCTGAGTTTACTTCAAAAGGCCAGTTTTATGTTGTGTATATTTTGCCACAATTTTTTTTTAAGGCCAGCCTCATTCTGCCTTGTGTCCATTTCTCCCTCCCCTAGGCCTGGGAAGTGAACAAAGGGACCAACTGTCTGACCACCTACCTTGAAGACTGTGAGACTCAGCTGTCCCAGGCCCCAAGGCAGGGCCTGCTCTACGGCGTCCCTGTGAGCCTTAAGGAGTGCTTCAGCTACAAGGTATCAGGGCTCACGTTCCCCCCATCCCTGCCAGCCAGCTCTGTATCCTGGGTTACCCTGGGCCCTCAGGAAGGATGAGGTCCAGAGGCCTTGAGGGGGCACCACGGTGTGCCTTGCCTTGGCCTGTGAGAGGGTGGTGGGAGTGGACCCTGTGCTGCTGAAGGGCCCCTGACTCATCAGCCATCTCCCTCTCGGTGCCCATTCTTCCTCGTAGGGCCAGGACTCGACCCTGGGCTTGCACCTGAATGAGGGGGTGCCAGCAGAGTGCGACAGCGTGGTGGTGCAGGTGCTGAAGCTGCAGGGCGCTGTGCCCTTCGTGCACACCAACGTCCCCCAGTCCATGTTCAGGTTGGCTCTCAGGGCTGTGGGGTAGAGGTAGGGTCACCTATGCCTGTGTGACACAGCTGACCCATACCTGCTTCCTCCAGCTATGACTGCAGTAACCCCCTCTTTGGCCAGACCACGAACCCATGGAAATCTTCTAAGAGCCCAGGTGGCTCCTCTGGGGGTGAAGGGGCCCTCATTGGAGCTGGAGGCTCCCTCCTGGGCTTAGGCACTGACATTGGGGGCAGCATTCGCTTTCCCTCCTCCTTCTGTGGTATCTGCGGCCTCAAGCCCACAGGAAACCGCCTCAGGTATGGTGTAGGAGGTGTGTGGAGGAAGCTTCTAGTTCCCTCGTGGTGTGACCTTGGCCTAGCTTCCCACCTCTCTGGGTTCCCTCACTGGGATTTTTCTGGGAGGGAATGTCGCGGCACCACTGGCCCTGGTTTCTAGTTTCCAAGTGGTAAGCATGCTGAGCTGCTGTATGGGTGCGGAGTGGGGCAGTGGTTGGCTATTTCCTGTTTCCAATATCTTGTGTTTCTTATCCAGCAAGATTGGTCTGAAGGGCTGTGTCTATGGACAGGTGGCAGGTAAAGTTTGCGGTTCCATTAGTGCCCTGGAAGGATGGGGGGGGTGTCTGCCTGATCCACCTCTGCCCCTGCCTGGGGGCAGAGTTTGGCCCCCAGGCCACTCTAGGTCTGAGTTCCTACTCCCTTGTCTCTGCCCCCACTCCGGGGCCATTGCCCAGTCCTTGCCTGGACCCAACCCCATTGGGGCCAAGTGATCTCTCTTCCCTCCCCTCCCCACCTGACAGTACAGCTCTCAGTCGGCCCCTTGGCCCGGGACGTGGAGAGCCTGGCGCTGTGCCTGCGAGCACTGCTGTGTGAGGACATGTTCCGCTTGGATCCCACTGTGCCCCCCCTGCCCTTCAAGGAGGAGGTGAGTGGGGATGGGGGTGGGTTCAGTTGTCACTGGTGCTCCTGAGCCCAGAGAGCAGCCCCCCGGCAGTGTGGGCAGGTCTTGGAGGCCTTCTCTCCTGAAAACCAGCCCCTAGGGGCCTGAGACCAGGGTCTGTGCTGCTCCACAGATAGCCACCAGATGGAGCCCTTGCCTGCATTTAGAAACCTCACTCTTCCAAATTGGCTGCTGGGAACCTTGCTGAGGGCAGGCTCCGCCTTCTGCCTTCTAGCTGGCGCCTCTGCTGCTGTCACTGAGAAGCCACTTCCCAGCACAGAGAACAACATGAGGGAGAACTCCTGTACCTCTTCTGTGTTTGACTCTCAACAAATAGGAGCCTTTCTTCAGTATTTGTGTCTGTATCCCCAGCCTCCACTGTGATGCTTGGCATGTAGGCTGAGTGAGTTAAGGACAGTTAAAGGCGGAGAAAGCTGGGATCTTTGACCAGTGTTGGATGCTGGCTCCCCAAAATACCACCAAAATAACCTGTTGATCAGACAAAGCTGAGTTTACCAATTTCTGTGGTAAGGGAGAATGCTTCCTCATCAGAACCTGCGTAGTACCAGGGAGGGGAGGGGTGGAGGTGGAGGGGAGTGCAAAACAGGGATATTAGTTGAGATTTTGAAATCTAGTTTAAGGCCGGTATTTCAACCTGGGGGTTTGTAAAGATCATGATGTAATAATAGTTTAGGTTTGGTGGACACAGCAAGGTAAGGATTTTGAGGTGAGGGATTTAAGGAGTCTTGGGGTATAAACGCATTTGGTGCTTCTATTGAAGAGTTGATGTGTCTTTCAAGAATGAAAAATAAAGTTATTTGTACTTTATGTGCAAAGCATTCAGGAGTAGTCAAGTGAGATGGATGCAGACAGTGGAATAGTAAAGTAATGTTAACATAGACAGTCAACTGTGTGATGTAAGCTCCATTTCTCCCTCACCCAACCCAGGCTGCCTTGGAAAGGCTGAGGGTCCTTGGAAAGGAGAGTGGGCCTTGGTGTTTCTTGGCAGGTGGGAAATCTGGGCTGGATGGGGTGAGCTCCCCAGAAGAGGATGTTTTAACTGAACCCAGTAGTTCATGATCCCCACCAGAGTGAGGAGAGGAGGAAATGAGGTCCTCATCCTGAGGTCTAGAACAGTTTATCATGGGAATTGGGGCTTGCATTCATGAAACAGTGAATGTAGAGCCTTGGCTCATGAGACAGGATACCTGGGTTCCAGACCTAGTATTGTCACTCTGCCTTGGGTAGCCTTGGAGCACTTTCAGCCCCACTCTGGGTCTATCTCCCTATCTAGATCTGAAGCCTTCATTTCCTCATATGTCCAAGGGGAATCTTCATGCTTACTCTCCCCACCTGCAGAGTCATTGTGAAGTTATTCTGTGAAAGAGGCTGGCCGTGCTGCCAATCCATTTCAGGGGATCCAGGCTGCAGCCTAGCAGCGGTGTCAGGTTGAGTGGCTTCTGAGCTATGGGAGCCCTGCCTCGGGCCACCCTCTCCTGATCTGACTCTGACTCTGTCTCCAGGTCTATACAAGCTCTCGGCCTCTGCGTGTGGGGTATCATGAGACAGATAACTATACCATGCCAACCCCAGCCATGAAGCGAGCCCTTCTGGAGACCAAGCAGAGACTTGAGGCTGCTGGCCACACGGTATGGCTACAGGAGCCCAGAAGTCCTGGCTTGGCCCTTCCTTCAGGGAAGCCTTCCTGGCATCCTTGCACCCTGATTGTTCTGTGGTTGGGGGTGGAACTGTGTCCCTTTGGCACCCAGTATAGAGAGGGCTAATCAGGAGTGTTGGAATAAGTGATTGATGGTGAACTCAGCCCTGTGCTAGGGATGTGTGATCTTGGCACTGGGTGGGCCTCATCAACCACAGTGGTGCACAGCTGCCCATAGGTTCCTGGGGCCCTGAGCTGGTGGGCCAGTGGGTTTTGGTCTGCTTATTTCAGACAAGTTCATGTGTGGCTCAGGGGAGTTTTCATGGGCCAGTAAGGCTACCTTAGTGGCTCCAGTGAGATAGAGTTGGTCCAGTCCATCCTCAAGGCCACTTGGGCAGCATGGGGGTGGTGGGACCCAAGGGTTTCTAGGGATGGGGGGCTTATACCTTTCAATCCCTACAGCTGGTTCCCTTCCTGCCAAGCAACATACCCTATGCTCTGGAGACACTGTCGACAGGTGGGCTGTTTAGTGATGGTGGCAGCAGCTTCATACAGAACTTGTGAGTCATGATGGGCTTCGGGGGTCTGAGGTGGGATCAGGACATGGGTGGACCCAGGGAGAGCAGTGGGGTGCTTTGACCCCCAAGGAGGGGCACCTGGGGGAAGATGGGAGACAGGCCTCAGCTGAACACAAAGAAGGACTAAGCATTCTGGGCAGGGGCCATGCTATATCTCCAACTGCAGGCTGAGCCTGGAGATACCTTCCCAGGGAGACTTTGGAAAGGTGCCAGCACAAGGGGAGGCTGGATCTGTGGCCTGGCCCTGAGCCAAGCGTTCTGGGAGGTAGCAGATAGGCAGAGAGCTACCTGTCTGTTGGGAAAGATTGAGAGACAAGGGCAGGATCAAGCAGGAGGGCAGGGGTCTAGACATCATGCTGTGACTCCAGGCTTTTCTTTTTTTCCTCTTTGGAGGGGGCACCCAGACAGCCTTTTCTGACTTGAACCACATCTTTCCCTTTCGAGCAGGACCTCAGTTTTCTCTTCTGTAGTCGGTGGGTTGGACCAGACACACTTTAAGGGACTCTGCAGAGCTCATGTTTAGAGAAGCTGGTTCCACTTGAGTGTTTTCAGATCTTAAAGACTGACAGAGGGAGAGAACAGGCCTGTGAAGGTGTCTTGTAGTGATGTGCCTGGGCTCACTAGACTTGCCCCAGTGGCCGAAGATGGTTTAGGCTCAGTGGAAGGTGCTACCCCTCACTCTGGCTCTGGGAATGAGGCCCAGGGTCAGCTGCCTGAGACCTTTCCTTGAGATCTAGAACCAGGGACAGCCTCAGAGACAAATGTCATGGGTTGCCCACTTTGGACAGCCCCATTTGTGCCTCCAGGCTGGTGTCGTCAATGGGGGGCTGGGGGGCTCAGTATCAAGCCCTGGCCAGTGAGATGTTGCCCTCAGTCCTATTCCTCTGAGCTGAGTTTGCCAGGGAGTGCGACGTGGAGTCCAGCCATGCGGAGCTCCAGTGGGGGTGGGGTAGCACCCAGGCATACTAAAGGATTAGCAGAAACAAGTTACACATTTGAAAGGAGGCAGATGAAGGGATTGGAGACCAGTAGTTACCGGAGTCTGTCGAGGAGGGAGATGGACAACGGTTGCTGAGTAGAAAATGGGAGACCCAGTGAATTGGGGGTAAGCCAGGAGGGATGTCTGGGGTGGGAGTGCCTGGACTGGAACCTTTGTCTCCCAGCAAAGGTGATTTCGTGGACCCCTGCTTGGGGGACCTGATATTGATTCTGAAGCTGCCCAGTTGGCTTAAAGGACTGCTGGCTTTCCTGCTGAAGCCTCTGGTAAGGGTACAAGGAGTGGAAGGGGTGGGGTGAGTGAGAGGGAGCTTCTGGGGCTCTTTCCCCTTCTCTTTAGCCTCTCCTGGGCAGGCATGGCCTCTTCTTTCCAGTCCCCACTCACACTCCTCTCCTCCCATGCCCTATAATCTTTAGTCAGCCTGCATGCTGAAGGGGTGCCAACCTGGGACCTGGGGGGAGGGACAGAGGGAAGAGGCATGGTGGCTTGGCCTGAAGAAGATTATTGTCAGCACCTGGCCCAAAGCTGAGCCACTGACTCCGTGTCTGTACTTCTGCAGCTTCCAAGGCTGGCAGCCTTTCTCAGCAACATGAGGTCTCGGTAAGAATATTTCCATGCCCAGATGCCTGACTCTCTCTTCCCCAGACCTGAGCGTGAGTGGTTTCTGACAGAAAAAGAGGTGGGAAGTAGCTTCTGAGAAAGAGGCTGAAGTGGCCCAGACAGGATGACAACTCTGTTACTCAAGATTTCTGGCTTGACTAGTACTGACGATGGGAACTCCTTGTCCCCAACACTGTGCAAGTTGGAGACCTTGAGTTAGAGTCTGTTACACAGTCCCTCTGTGGCCTTTAGATGGGACCTTGAAGTTGTCTTAGCAAGATCCAGGTCTGGCTGGAGAGCAAGGGCCTGAGGGCGATGACAGGATGGGAGTGGTAGAAAGAAGATTGACCTGGCTGAGGCATGGGTGGAAAGGACCAGGAAGGAGTTGCTGGGGGGTGGGGGTGGGGGGATACTGGGAACTCTGTGAGAGATGCTGCTCTTAGAGATTTGAACTGAACTGAGCTGCACTGGGTCTTACCTGCCCTTTAGTGGCTCGAGTGGGAAAAGCAGGGCATAAGCTGCTCCATTTTGAGACCTTGATATGGACGTGCTCCTGCTTCCACCACCAGGCATTCAGGACCTTTGACAGCTCTGTCCTCTCCTAAGGGTAGCTAGGAATCAGGCCTGGGCTGGTCTGGCTCTGCTGTGGAGTCACTAAGTAACCCAGTCTAAGTCCCTCTTGGGACCTGATCTTCTCAACAGGACGGTAGGGATTTGAACTTCTACCCTGCACTACTTCCCTCTCAGAGCTCGCATGATGTTGAAAAGGTTCCCTGCAGGAATGAGATCCCGGAGGTGTTAAAGAGTAGGATTCTGGTTCTGCTAATCCCCTAATCCCCATTGGCTGTGACTATCATGGCCATCATGTGACTTCACTTCCTCTGCCAGGTCCACTGGAAAGCTCTGGGAATTGCATCACGAGATTGAGGTGAGGCAAAGCCCCTGGACTAGGGTGGGGTGGGGGAGGGAGTGGGGGTGGACAGGCACCTGCCAGTGCTGGTCTCTTGGGCACGTGTTCCACTGGTTTCCTGGAGCGGCCTGTTATTCCCTCTCCCCATCCCTGGACTGGCCTGCTTGGGGCCTGCTGTCTGGCCCTCATTTACCCAAATGCATATCCTTGGGGGCTGGATCAGCCCGGGGTTCCCATTCTGGACACCTCTTTGCCCCTCTGGTGCTGCCTGTGGCCTGGCACTATGTGGCCCTGCCCTGGCAGGAAGAACGGTGTCTATAGTTCTTGTAGGAGGTGGGGACATTGATTCCCTCTGAAAGCAGCCGTGCTTGCATGCCTTGAGGACCTCTATCCCGTTGTGGCTCAGCTTAGATCCCCAAGCAGGGGCTGGGGCCAGAGCCACGCCAGCCACACAGTGCCTGCACTGGAGAGTTCATGTGATGGACTGGGTCTGAGTGCGTCTCCTGCCGTGCTGGTACCCCCCCAGGTGTACCGCAACTCTGTGATTGCCCAGTGGAGAGCACTGGACTTGGATGTGCTGCTCACCCCCATGCTGGGCCCTGCTATGGACTTGAATGCCCCAGGCAAGGCCTCAGGTGAGGCCCACTTCCCCACCCATCCCTTCTCTTCTCAGTTCAGCCCTGTGCCTAGCAGGGCTGCTGGGAAGTAGAAGAGGAGCCCTGGGGGAGGACTTGGCTCTTGGGGGACTCACAATCTGGCTGGCTGGAAAGATGGGAGTTATGTGGTATTCCCTGGGAGGGAATGAGCTCCATGTCCTCTACACTATTCAAGTTGGAGATCTTGAGTTACAGAGTGTATGGTTTTGGAAGGTGGTATTTGAAGTCCAGGTGGGATTTAGATAAGTCAAGAAAATAGGAACAATATTCCAGGTTGAGGAAGCTACATGGGCAAGGGCCCCGGGCAAATGCCAGCAGGCTCTCTCTCCAGCCTGCCCTCAATCTGGATTCCTGGGCTTTGCCACTCACTCAAGTCTCAGCCTGGGGAGAGAACCTGTCCCTGTTTGTGGAGGTCAGGTGCCACTTCACAGGGAGGGAGCCTGAGGTGCAGACAGGACAGCTGGCACTGAAGGTCACTCGGCCTGCTCCAGCCACCTGTGCTGTGTCTTAGGGGCCGTCAGCTACACTCTGCTCTACAACTGCCTGGACTTCCCAGCGGGGGTGGTGCCTGTCACCACAGTGACTCCTGAGGATGAGGCCCAGATGGAACATTGCAGGGGCTACTTTGGAGATATGTGGGACAAGGTGCTGTGGAAGGTGAGGTCATGGGGGCTGGCCTGGCCAACTCCGGGTCTTCCTTCCCCTGGACTCACCTATACCCTCACTCTAGCTGCTGCGGAGGAAACTGTATAGTCCTTGCCTCCTCCTCCTCTCCAGCTGGGGTACTTCCTGGACCTGGGGTGGGGTCCTGCCTCACTACCTCGCATCCTGATCCCTGTGTCCCCTGCAGGCCATGAAGAAGAGTGTGGGGCTGCCTGTGGCCGTGCAGTGCGTGGCTCTGCCCTGGCAGGAAGAGTTGTGTCTGCGGTTCATGCGGGAGGTGGAGCAACTGATGACGCCCGAAAAGCGGCTGTTTTGACTGTTGTCTGCCCAGCTGCCCAGCTGGCTCCAGAGGACTCACTCAATCTGCGCCCAGCCTGGTCAGGACACAGCTGCCACCCTGCGAGGAAATGTTCACCTGGGAGCAGAGGCTTCCTCCCCTTGCCCCTTCCAAGAAGCCAAGACCCCCTGAGTCTGGACCTTGCTCCTCCGTTTGGTCCCCAAACTCTGCCCTGACCCCCTCCCCATGTGGCAGCCAGTGGGTATGACATGGGCAAAGCCCCACTAATAGTCAACAAATGGTTTCTAGTCTGTGTACTTTCTGGCCGTCATTGTTAGGGCACTGGGGGTTGGAGACTTGACCTTCTAAAGCCTGATTCCAGTCATATCAGTTTCCTGCTCCCAAACCTCCCCTGGCTCCCATCACATACAGGATGGGCACAGGCTTCTCAGAGTGGGTGTGGCAGACCCAGCACTTTACCGTCCCGCCTTACACTAAGTCCTGCTTTGCTAGACATTGCCCTTTCCCTTCTTCCTTCCTTTGGTCCTTCCTTCTGCTGAGGATGCCCTTTCTGCTCCTCTACCTTTAGATACTTTGAGGCCCAGCTCAGATCCCTCTGTCTCCAGAAGGCTTTCCGTCCTTCCTCTGAGCCTTGGAGTGGGTGGGCAGTTTTCCTCAGTCTGTCCCATGTGCTGGGCATCTGTGTGTGTGTGTGTAGGGGGGCTGCTTCTGTTAGCACACTGGTTGTCCTTGATGGCAGGGACCCTATTATATGTATATCTTTGCCCTCAGTGGCCAGTACAGGGCAGCAGGGAGTCTGGAGGGCTGACCCTGAGCTGGTACTGTTGGGGAGAGGAGTCCACAGGCCTGGGGAGGTGAGCACCATAGAAAGCGATCTGGTAGCGCTCACAGGGCCAGCCAAGGACTGTATGGTTCTAGGAAGGCTTCCTGAAGGAGGACCCCTGTGGAGTCTAGAAGGTTTCCAGAGGCAGAGGTAGGGGATGGGGACGTCCAGGGAGGAGGAACATCAGTATGCCCAGAGACCAGGGTGAGTTTGTAGATGGAGGCATGTTGAATGGGCACAGGAGAAGGAGCGAAGATGTAGGTGGGGCCAGATCAAGGTGGACATGGGGGCTCAGTTCAAGAGCTTGAATCTTGTCTCAAGGGCAATGGGGAACTCTTGAATGATCACACAAGTGCAGTGAGGGATACAGAGGTTGCTCCATTATCTTAACCTGGGGAAGGGGGCCTGAGGCCTGAGATAGGGCAGTGGGCCAGGGATAGAGAGAGAGGTAGTTTGGGAATCGACAGTTGAGAGGCAAGTGAGCTGTCTTAGCTCCATCTGCCAGGTCACCTCTTACTGCACTGTGTTGCCTGACAGGTAGAAGGTTGGCTTGCTTGTGACAGACTTCTTGACTGTACTAGCAGAGTTCCTCATTCCTCCCCGGACCCAGCCCTAACTCCCCTGCTGGCTGTAAGACGGGTTTCTTTTGTTGCTGATAAATATTTTTCCATTGATTTGAGATACAGCGGAAGGGAGGGAGGTAAGGAAAGAGAGATCAATGTGAGAGAGACACAGTTGGTTGCCTCCTGCACATGCCTGACTGGGACGGGATCAAACCTGCAACCCAGGTATGTGCCCTTGACCAGGAATCGAACCTGAGACCTTTCGGCGCGCTGTTCAACGCTCTAACTCCTGAACCACGCCGGCCTGGGCTAGAAGGTGTTTCTGAGCCTGAGCCTTCCGGTTGGGTAGACCCCAGGTTCTTACCTGGCCTACTTCAAATTCTTTTCAAGGCCAGCTGCCTTGTCAAGGAAGGCTTGCTCCTCCATCCTGATTCTTCTGCTTCTCCAAAGGTGCTTCTCCTCCAGGTTTTACAACCAGTAGCACCTGCATTCTCTGCCAAATGTGTTCCTGCCTTGGTGGCACCAGTTTCAGGATAGACATGAGGCCCCACACCTTGGGGCTGACTAGAGGGCCCAGCCCACATGGACATCTAGATTGGGATAACCTGGTAGTTGCTACACTTCGCCCTGATTCCTCATGACTCCTGTGTCATTTTGCCTCATAGTATGCCATAAAACTACCTGCCACCTGCCCTGTNTAGAAAGCGATCTGGTAGCGCTCACAGGGCCAGCCAAGGACTGTATGGTTCTAGGAAGGCTTCCTGAAGGAGGACCCCTGTGGAGTCTAGAAGGTTTCCAGAGGCAGAGGTAGGGGATGGGGACGTCCAGGGAGGAGGAACATCAGTATGCCCAGAGACCAGGGTGAGTTTGTAGATGGAGGCATGTTGAATGGGCACAGGAGAAGGAGCGAAGATGTAGGTGGGGCCAGATCAAGGTGGACATGGGGGCTCAGTTCAAGAGCTTGAATCTTGTCTCAAGGGCAATGGGGAACTCTTGAATGATCACACAAGTGCAGTGAGGGATACAGAGGTTGCTCCATTATCTTAACCTGGGGAAGGGGGCCTGAGGCCTGAGATAGGGCAGTGGGCCAGGGACAGAGAGAGAGGTAGTTTGGGAATCGACAGTTGAGAGGCAAGTGAGCTGTCTTAGCTCCATCTGCCAGGTCACCTCTTACTGCACTGTGTTGCCTGACAGGTAGAAGGTTGGCTTGCTTGTGACAGACTTCTTGACTGTACTAGCAGAGTTCCTCATTCCTCCCCGGACCCAGCCCTAACTCCCCTGCTGGCTGTAAGACGGGTTTCTTTTGTTGCTGATAAATATTTTTCCATTGATTTGAGATACAGCGGAAGGGAGGGAGGTAAGGAAAGAGAGATCAATGTGAGAGAGACACAGTTGGTTGCCTCCTGCACATGCCTGACTGGGACGGGATCAAACCTGCAACCCAGGTATGTGCCCTTGACCAGGAATCGAACCTGAGACCTTTCGGCGCGCTGTTCAACGCTCTAACTCCTGAACCACGCCGGCCTGGGCTAGAAGGTGTTTCTGAGCCTGAGCCTTCCGGTTGGGTAGACCCCAGGTTCTTACCTGGCCTACTTCAAATTCTTTTCAAGGCCAGCTGCCTTGTCAAGGAAGGCTTGCTCCTCCATCCTGATTCTTCTGCTTCTCCAAAGGTGCTTCTCCTCCAGGTTTTACAACCAGTAGCACCTGCATTCTCTGCCAAATGTGTTCCTGCCTTGGTGGCACCAGTTTCAGGATAGACATGAGGCCCCACACCTTGGGGCTGACTAGAGGGCCCAGCCCACATGGACATCTAGATTGGGATAACCTGGTAGTTGCTACACTTCGCCCTGATTCCTCATGACTCCTGTGTCATTTTGCCTCATAGTATGCCATAAAACTACCTGCCACCTGCCCTGTTTCCTCCTGACCCATTTCTCTCTTTTTAATCCTCACCCGATGATATTTTTTTCATTGCTTTTTCAGAGAGAGTGGGAGGGGGAGAGAGAGAGAGAAACGCTGATGTGAGAGACATCTGGCTGCCTCCCACACGTGCCCTGACCTGACCAGGGCCGTAGATCGAGCCTGCAACGCAGGTCCGTGCCCTCGGCAGGAACTGAACCTGGGACCCTTCGCTCCGCGGGCCGACGCTCTAACCACTGAGCCAAACTGGCCCGGGCCCCATTTCTCTTTTTGGTTACTAATATCCTTGTGCCTGCAGACTCAAGACTGCAGCGGGGGATGCCTCTCCTTCATTCCTTCACTGATTCATTGATTCACCCTTAGAGCCCCAGCATGGTCATACCCACCCTATGCTGAGTGGGGCTGGAACTCAACCAAGTCTGGTTTCCATCCTTGGGCTCCTGGGCTTGTGGGGGTGGTAGATGTTGACACAAGCACATCTGTTAACCAGGTGATCAGGGCTGGGGAAAGGGCAGACAAGGGGCCAAATGCTGCCAAAAAGCAGAGGAGGTGGTCACTGCGCAAGTACCACTGCAAGTCACTGCTGCACTCTAATCCAAATAACCTGCCTCCTGGATACTGCAATAACCTAATTTGGCTCCCTGCTTCCATCATCACCTGTCCCCCAACCTATTTTCCATATAGTAGCCAGAATGATCCCTTAAAAATGTGTATTAGATTGAGTCACTTCTCTCCTTAAGACCTTCCAATGACTTCCCATCCCATCAAGAATAAAATCCAGTGTCCTCATGTCCTACAAGGGCCTGTGTGAGGTGGCCCTTGCCAACCTCTCCAGCCTCACCTTGGGTGTCTCTTCTTTCATTCACTGCTCCAGCCACATAAGCACCTTTTGGTTTCTTTTCTTTTTAAAATCCTCACCCAAGGGGAGAGGATCTTTTTACCTCATTGATTTCTAGAGAGAGTGAAAGGGAGGGGAGAGGGGGAGAAGAGAGAGAAACATCGATGTGAGAGAGAAACATCGACTGGTTGTCTTCCACAAGCAACCTGACCTGGGGCGGGGTTGAACCTGCAACCCAGGCGTGTGGGCCAATGCTCTAACCACTGAGCCACACCAGCCAAGGCCCTTTTGGTTTCTTGATCATCTCAAGGTGGTCCGTGCATCACAGCCTTGGTGTTAGCTGTCCCTGTGGTTGGAACTCTTGGCTCCAGTGTCCCTTCCCCTGATCATCCACTGGTTAAACAGCTTCCCTGACACTTTCTAATACGTTGCCCTTTGTATTTTTTAGCATTATCAGTATCTGGAACATATTATTTTTTTGGTCTCAACTCAGACAAGCTTCCTGAGAGCTGCGCTTCGTTTTGCTTATCGCTGTATTCTTGGCATGAGGAATGTTGCTTATAAAGTGCTCAATTCTGTGAACCTTAAGTGAGCAGTACTGGCGACCAGACTCTGTACTGGGTGCTGGGACTACATTGATGAATGGGACAGACTGGGTTCTTGTCCTCTTGGAGCTTACATTCTGGAGGATATTTGTTGAATGACAGGAGGAAGCGAGGCGGCTGGTGTGCTGGTGAAGACTATTTAATGCATGGAGTGATGAGGTGACTCTTGGTCAGGTAAAAGGGGGAAGGGTGTATTGAATGACATTTACCAAGTACTGACTATGCCCCATTTACCTTTTGGGCTCTTAATAGTTGTCATTTAATCTACCTGTTAAACCAAATTGTAGGCTTCTTTGTCTCACTTGTGACAGACTTCTTGGCCCTACCCTTGCCATGTCCCATTTTATAGAAAAGTGACATACCTTGCCAAAAGTCCCACAGCTGGAAGTGGGGGACTTTAGAATTGAAAACTGGGTCAATCGATGTCAGAACCTGTGCAGTGAGCTCTTCCTGGTCTCCCATGATGCCGAGGCACGGAGCAGTGACAGCATGAGCCAGCCACTTCCTCTTCCCTGTCGGGCCACCAGTCCAGCGGCGC